TATATATATATATGTATTTATATTTATATATATATATTTAAAACAACTATATAATGGAATTGGCTTCAATCCTGGATTGGTTAACCATAAGGGACTAACCATAAGTCTTCTTGCATTATTTAATCTTGTATTTTAATCACGTATTGTATTTTAATAAAACGCACGATGAGACAACATCTGTCAGCTTCTTCTGGAGCACATGTGGGTCATCTGTCTAAGGTTTTTATATTTATACAGCCTAAAAATTAAAGTGCATGGAATCAAAATCTACCATTTGGAAGAAAAAAAAAACTGAACAGTTCCTGGTAACAGTGACACAAAGACCACGTGATCAGCGTGCTCCTATAAATACCTTTTTAGACCTAAGGAGGATAGTGTGAGCCTGGATACCTCCCTAATCTCGCGCGTAAAAGTTGTTTTTAAATATCCAAAAGTTGTCTTTGAGTGATCAGACCTTCGGTTCTGACGACAACACGAGCTCGTGCGCGTGCAAGACCAAAACTTCATCTTTGACTGACTTTTCCGCGGGAGTCAAACAGAAGTTGCAGCTTTCTTTTTGCCTTGAAGTCCTCCCTCCGTCGCGCGCGACCATCATCAGATGATTCGCTCGAACCACACTTTCAAGCGATTGCGTCTTTTTGGTACATTTTAACCATGTGTGCTTTTATTAGTTGGAGATAAAGCAGCTGGAGAGCGCCGGTAGAAGGAGGGTGCGCGCGCTCCGACAAAACCGGAGAAGAACTCGGACAGAGAGGGGGAAGTGAAGTGGTGTCTCCAAGGATGACTTTAGGGACGGATATGTCCGACAGCTCTGCATTGTCCGAGGATGTGGACATTGATGTGGTCGGTGGGGACATTTCTGCGGGAAAGGATGGGAAATACATCCAGGAGTTCAACTTGGACAACGACTCGGACGATAATTACTCCCAGAACGCAGCGGAAAGGGTTTCCTCCCCGGGACTCAGCTCGGACTGCCCGTCGGAGCAGCTGGGCTCCGGCGCAGAGTCCGGGACCGTGCTCGGGGACAAACCTCGAAAAAGCGCCCTGGTGAAGCCACCGTACTCCTACATCGCCCTGATCACCATGGCCATCCTGCAGAGCCCCAAGAAGCGCCTGACGCTCAGCGAGATCTGCGAGTTCATCAGCAGCAGATTCCCTTACTACCGGGAGAAGTTCCCCGCGTGGCAGAACTCCATCCGACACAACCTCTCTCTGAACGACTGTTTTGTGAAAATCCCCCGGGAGCCGGGCAACCCCGGGAAGGGCAACTACTGGACCCTGGACCCGGACTCCGCGGACATGTTCGACAACGGGAGCTTCCTGCGCCGGAGGAAGCGCTTCAAACGGCACCAGAACAATGAGATCCTCAGGGACTCCGGCGGCTTTCTGCCCGGCTTTGGATACGGCCCATATGGATACAACTACGGGCTCCAGCTGCAGAACTTCCACGTAGCGCACGGCCCTTTCCACGCGCACCACACAGGTGGTTCATTCCCGTTCCCTAACGCGCCCTGCACCTTGCCCTCCTCCGCATCCATATTCCCGGCGCCGCATCACATGCCCTCCCTTTTGGGGAGCGACTTAAGGAAGCCCTTTTATCCCCAGCTGAGCCCCTCTCTGCCCCCAGTCAAGACGGACTCGAGCGCTCAGGGCCGGCCGTCGTTCTCCATCGACAACATCATCGGAGAGAGCAACTCCAGCGGCGCTTCGCTGAGCGCGCAGCCGGGCAGCCAGGCTCAGATCCTGGCCATGCTGACCCCCGCCCTGGCCTCCGCCTCCACACACTTGAACTTATCACAGGAGGGCATGTTTCAGAGCCAGACTTTCCCCTCCAAACCCCCCAGCATGAACAGCTGTTCTTATTAAAGACATAAAAATAATGAGACAATTATTGCGACGTCGTCCTATATGAAGGTAGGATGAACATTCAGTTTTATGAGGAGAGATGAGTTTATTTATAGGATGTAAATAGAACACAAAGACACAGACACCAGGGCAGGCCTGAGGCCTTCGTTTGTTTATGGTGGTGGGAGAAAACAACAAATCTGATTTTCAACATAAGTTAAAGATGTCATTGACTTTGGGGGATCGTTTCCATTGTTTAATATAAATATTAATAAGGAATCCTTGATTGTGTTTGGTGTGTGCGTGAGAAACTCAGGTTTTACTTATAAAACACATGAAGACAAAAAAAGGGGGTTTGTGACATCAGAATAAATAAAATATATCACAGAATGTGTCATTTCCCCCCAACAGCATGAATTATTTCATGTGATAACATTGAATTGTGTTTTCCTCCCTGTTTCCACATTAATCTGTGAAGTTTGTCACGTGATGCCATTAGAGAAGCACCTAAATGTTCCAATAGGTCTTTATTTTAATTTTTTTTTTTTTTGGTTGTAATGGCGAAAATAATAAATGTTTGTGTTTCAAAACAGAACAAAAATAGTAGCTTTTTATTGAATTCAAAGTTGCTCTTAATCAATAAAATTGATTAATTAGATTTGAACCACAGTTTTTGTGCGTTTTTGATGAAAATGTCTTTAAAACGTGTCCTTAAATTTTAAATAGATTTATATCTATTTAAAATAAAAAAAAGGAAAGACGCAGATTTATTTTACTTGTGTGTTTTTATTTGGCACAAACATTTTGCTCAGCTGTGACTCTAATTAATTGCAGTAAATAAAAGCTCGTGCTTGTTGTGAGGAACCCACTCTATTTTCCTTTAAATGTTTCCAACAGAACTCGCTGTGCGTAAAATTGGGAGATATCACGCAACAGTGCGCATGTTGTGTGGCTCTTTACTCGTTTGTAAAAAGACCATTTTCCAGCAGGTTACAAAGCCCCCCCACACCCCTTCAAATGAATGGGGGGGGGCGGGGGGGGGGGGTCAAGACTCGGCGGTCATAATTGAAAGTGAACAAGGATATACCCACGGTCTTAGGGGGGTTTTCGTTGCTAATTTGTAACAGCATTTTTCATCAGCCTCCTAATCTGCCATAATGCAGCTTTGTGGGCGCGCGCGTGTGTGCGCGCTCGTTTGTTGATGTTGTCAGTGCGGACCCCTGTCCCCTAAGGGAGTGAATGTGGCGCACAGCGAGTGGTCCCCTGCGAGGGCAGCCACACACAAACACATGCGCGCACGGACGCGCACAGATTTCTAGACGCCTGAAAAGCGAGTCTTCTTCTCAAAAGGCCCTCGGTTCGCGCCGCTTTCATGTTCTCCGTTGCTGACTGGGGATCCACAGAGAAAGGGGAAACAGTGGGGACTCGTCCGGCTACAGAAAACAGGCCCATGCCCCCACACCCCCACCCCACCACCACCACCAAAAAAAAAAAAAAATACTGGACCACATGTTTCTTCACAGGAGGGGGTGAAAAAGGCCCCCTTTATTTACCAGACCTGTGTGCAAATGGTTAAATTAGTTTGTGGGTGTTTTGACAGATGATTATTAAGAATGAAGGGTGGGAGGGCTGACTCCTCTGTTTGCCCCCCACCCCCCAGCCCCCCACACCTCCCCAGCAACTGAAAGTCTTTGAAACCAAGCCTTTTGTTTCCTTTCTGCTTCTTTCTTGCTTGTTAGTGGAAATGAGACAACCGATGAAAGTCGCGCACGGAATTCTCTTTTTTTGGGGTGGGGGGTGGTGGTAAATAACTCTGATTAGCACCTAATGTTGTAGATACAGCTCCGTATGTATAATTTGCAGAATGATCTGTTAAAAAACATTAACTACAGAAGGTTTTGCCCCCCCCATCCCCTCTCGGTCCTGACAGTCGTTACGCAGCGCGTCAGGCCTTTTTTAAAATCCACACCAAGAGTTTGCAGAGCTGCTTAAAAACTTTTAAAGAACGGCAGGAACAAAAACCGAGGCCAATAAAAACCAGGACACAGACTCAAACGCGTGCACGCACAGCGGAGAGACGGTGGGGATGCTGCACCGTGCACGTTTCAAATCAGCCGCTCAGACTCAGAGCTCAAACTTTGCTCCTGCAGCCAGGACACAATCAAACATCATCTGAAACGATAAAACAAACTTTAAATGCGCTGATAATTCTTAATAAAGAGTTTTAATCCAGGACCATTGAAGGCCACACAAGTTCTTCTGCAGAGCGTCCTTTAGGACGTCACTTCTTCAAATGTCTTCCAAAACGGAATGAAGGCCTGAGTGATGTGAAGTGACAGCTAAATGACTCACCAGTCACCAGAAACGCATTTATCAATTTCAAGGCAATTCCCATCTTTTTTTCTAACTGCTTCCATGTGTTGCGTTTGGGTGTTAAAACCACTGTCGTTTATTCCAAGACTTCAGACGTCAGCATTCATTTAGATTAATATGCTTTCTTAACATTATTATTATTATTATTATTATTATTATTATTATTATTATTATTAT